AAAAAAAAAGACATTACCTCCACTGGTAAAATTAGGAGATAGCACAGACTGGCGGAGAGCGCAGTGGGTCCAAGAGTGAGGTAGGAGGTGACAGTGCAGGAGATCAGCAATGAAGAGATGAGCCAGATCAGGGGGCCATAGTACACCCCTTCGAACAGGCAGTTTACGTCGCTGGCGAAGAAGCTAATGGCCTGTAAGACAGCAAAGCCTGTGGGCACAGGTTTCACCTCTTAGGGTACCTAGAAGGGCCTACATGGGACAGGAAAGCTTGGGAGGCATGGTGGTAGAGACAAAAACACCAAGTTCACAGCTCTCCTCTTACTCTCTGTGTGACCCTGGGCCCATTCCTAGGCCACTCTGAGCCACTCTGAGCCTCAGCTTCTTTGCCTATGAAGCTGGAATAATTATACCCACTTTCTATGGCTGCTGTGAGGATGTCAATAAGATATCTGCATATGGACATCAGTAAAAGTTGTATTTTACTATACTATTGCTACTGCTTCTCATATCCAGATTCCCCAGAGAGTTACTTCTAGTCTTCTTTCTTATTCTATTCTATTCATTCTATTTCTACTAATAATAGTGGCTGAATTTATTTAGGCAGGAGCTAAGTCTTTTTATCCTTCCTTTTCTATTTTGCTATGGACTCTTCGGTCTACTTTCCTGCTCCCTAACTGCCCGGTTCCATGTTACATAAAAGCTGACGTTGCAAATCAAGAAATATTTAAGGACCCAGATCATGAATGTCTTTTAGAATGACCAATCTGAATGCCTTAAGAAGTGGTTTCCTTTTCACTTTAAACTGATCTCCTTCCAGTTCCCAGGATATGCCTCAGGCTGAACCTTTACAAAAATTTGAAGTGTATGAGGGAGCTAGCTTGGTACAGCCACTTTGGAATGGAACTGGAGAGTATCTTAAAAAGTTAACAATTGCACAAACCCCAAGACTTGGCTATTTCATTTCTCTGTTGAGAAACATCCACACATGCAAGAGGAAGGCAAAGACATTTACTACAGTTGTGCTTATTAGCAACAAAACCCTGGAAACATTCTGAATGTCCACTGGTGGGGAAAGGTTAAAGCATCCACTCCAAGAGTATTAGGTAATATTGAATCCTGGAACAACCTGTCAGAGATCATGTCCCAGACCTGTCATATAGTAGCTATAGGACCAAAGACACATACTCAGTCTCTCTGTGCCTCAGTTGCCTTATCAGTAAAATGGGAATAATAATACCACCTACTCCATACCACTGATGTGACAACTGATGAGATAATGCATATAAACACTCAATTTAGCCATTTTGAAAATGCTCCAGGTGGGTGGGGGAAAATGGACAAAGGTGGTCAAAAGGTAAAAACATTTATAAGATAAATAATTATGGTGACCATAGTTACTATTGCATGGTGTATAAGTTGCTAAGACAGCAGATCTTAAAAGTTCTCACTGCAGGCAAAAAATTATAACTATGCCAACAGACACATGAAAAAGTGCTCCATATCACTCGGCATCAGGGAAATACAAATCAAAACCACAATGAGATATCACCTCACACCAGTCAGAATGGCTAAAATTAATAAGTCAGGAAATGACAGATGCTGGCGAGGATGCGGAGAAAGGGGAACCCTCCTACACTGTTGGTGGGAATGCAAGCTGGTGCAACCACTCTGGAAAACAGCATGGAGGTTCCTCAAAATGTTGAAAATAGAACTACCCTATGACCCAGCAATTGCACTGCTGGGTATTTACCCTAAAGATACAAACGTAGTGATCCGAAGGGGCACGTGCACCCGAATGTTTATAGCAGCAATGTCTACAATAGCCAAACTATGGAAAGAACCTAGATGTCCATCAACAGACGAATGGATAAAGAAGATGTGGTATATATACACAATGGAATACTATGCAGCCATCAAAAGAAATGAAATCTTGCCATTTGCGACGACGTGGATGGAACTAGAGGGTATCATGCTTAGCGAAATAAGTCAATCGGAGAAAGACAACTATCATATGATCTCCCTGATATGAGGAAGTGGAGATGCAACATGGGGGGTTAAGGGGGTAGGAGAAGAATAAATGAAACAAGATGGGATTGGGAGGGAGACAAACCATAAGTGACTCTTAATCTCACAAAACAAACGGAGGGTTGCTGGGGGGAGGGGGTTGGGAGAAGGGGGGTGGGATTATGGACATTGGGGAGGGTATGTGCTATGGTGAGTGCTGTGAAGTGTGTAAACCTGGCGACTCACAGACCTGTACCCCTGGGGATAAAAATATATTATATTTTATAAAAAATTTTAAAAATTAAATTAAATTTAAAAAATTATAACTATGTAAAGTGATGAATGGTAACTAAATTTATGGTAGTGATTGTTTTGCAACTCATTAAGTCATTACCTTGTATAAAACCCTGGACTAATACATTATACATCAATTATATCCAATAAAAATGGGGAGGAAGGAAATGCTACAATTATAAGTAAGCATCCTTGAAAAAGAATAAGAAAGATCTGCATGTGTTAAGATGGAAGGCTAAGACATAATGAGGAAGAAAGAAAATCTTCAAAAGAGCCCAAACAATGTAGCATCCTTGATGTAAAAACTTACCCCAAAAATTGTATCATACATTTTCTATTAGTAAAACAAAGTGGCAGAACCCTGTAAAATGTAGTATCATTTACGTAAAAACACAAGCACAATATATAATACATTTTCCATGGGTAACTTGCATGTGTACTTAAACACACTTTAAAAAGCATAGAAGGACACAAGCCGTATTGATAATGGTGGTCACCTCCAGGCATTAGGGAAGTGATGGGGTCTAGGGAGTCATCTAGTCCACTTTATTTTGTTTGCAAGGAGAACATATGAAGGTGTTTTATAAATTAATTTTAAAATAAAATTTATGGAAGCAGTCCCCTAGAACTCCTCATGTAACCAGTTACTTCCATCCCACTTCCAGGTGGGCCATCTTGTCTTACGTTCATGAGCATATTTGGGGGAAATCGGCCTTGCACATAGCGGGTGCTCAGGATAGAGGCACAGAGAAAAGGAACCAGGACAGACCTCAGTGTGGAAAGTCTCCTTGGCAAGGCAGGTAAGTGCAGCCAGGTTCTGCTGCTTACCAATCACATGACCTCGTATATACGGTTCCTACTCCTTCCTTCCTCAGTTTCTACCTCTGTGACCATGGGAACAATAATAGAGACCACCGCATAAAAGGGTTGTCAGAGGACTGACTGAGATAACAAGGTAAAGCCTTGGGGATGATGTTTGGCTTCGTGGAAGTTAATAACTACTATGATGACTCTCCTCAGATAAATAGGGGGAAGGGCCGCCACAGATCTCAACATCCGTCAAATGCAGGAGGACAGGGAGCTCCCATGCTCAAGGCTTGAGAGAAGTCAGCAATGCAATTTAACACTTCTGAACCTCTGTCCCCTTTCTATGTGCATTATATGTACTAACTCATTAATAACAATCCTTTAAGGCTGGCCTTATTATTCTGCAGCTTCAGAGAGACTGAACACGTTGCCTTAGGTTACAGGACTAATAAAATTAGGAAGAGTAATGGTAACCACGATAACAAATACCTTACGTTGGCTACCAATCGAGTTTAGAGAAAGCATCCACTCGATGGCAGTGTGTAATCTGGCAGATTTTTTTTGGACATCTGCCCTGTGTAATTCAAATGTTGGCATTTTGAGTGATACAGTGGTGAATCTGAAAGGGTTTGTGTCTTTGAAGGGGGCTCATCTTTTTTTTTTAAGATTTTATTTATTTATTTGACAGAGATCACAAGTAGACAGAGAGGCAGGCAGAGAGAGGAGGGGAAGCAGGCTCCCTGCTGAGCAGAGAGCCCCACATGGGGCTCGATTCCAGGATCCTGAGATCATGACCTGAGCCGAAGGCGGAGGCTTTAACCCACTGAACCACCCAGGCGCCCCATGAAGGGGGCTCATCTTAGCGGGGCAGCCGGATTTGTGCTTGGTGGGAACTGGGAGTGGATGGTGGGGTTTAGCAATATTGTCATGAAGGAGAGGACATCCATGAAGTATGAATGGGATTATAAAAGGACAGCGGTTGGGGGTGATATGAGCAACATTGCCAGGAGGTGGTGTGCCTGGTGTGTTTGAGGACTGAAGGTTAGCCTAGCCTGGTTGAAAGGAAGAAGCCAACCTAGTGTTGGAAGAGGGGAGATGGGAGGAGGGGAGGTTGGACAGTTGCTGATGCCAGATCACAAAGCGTCTGGCTTGAGGATATGGAATCAAAGCAGTGCTGCGTTTTCCAAAAATTCAAATGCCTGTTTTAATAGTAAAGGAATCTATGCTCCTCAAGGCAACTGGTAAGCAAGAGAAAAATAGGGCAATGAAATTAAATATATAAAATTCTAATACTCCCATGCCCATGCGTCATAAGTTGGAGCGTCTTTTTCCAATCTCTGTCAACATTAGTACGTTTGTGTTACATCATAGGAGGGGCAAGAGAAGGGAACTGATAGACCAATAACAATTAACCAGGCAGCTCTAAGTACTCCTCCTTTGCAGATAAGAATGAACACTCAAAGAGGTGATTTACAATTGCTATTCCCTTGGTTTCCCTGAGCTATCCTGTCTGCTCATCCATCCATACCCTCCTCCCCAAGCTGGCTGAGGGGATGCACTTCCTGAGGCACTTCTACTGAGGGTTTGTGTCTTTCTGTTCACTGCTATATCCCCAGGGCCCAGCACAGGGTCTGGTCCAAGGTAGGCCTCAGTAACTATGTGGTGAATGACTCAATCAATTTTGTCCCAAGCTTCTGAATGCAAGTGGCATCTCCCTTGGTTACTGCTGACCTGTTCTTACGTCCTCAGAAGCAACTGTTGATGATTATCCACGCTCTCCGTAGGAATTATTTCTTTTCTTTTCTTTTTTCTTTTTTGTTGGTGGGAGGCACATTAGGCTCGCTCTGCGGGGCTCACAAGGACCCCACCTCACCCCCCCCCAAACAGGCAGAGGGGTGGCCTCAGATGGTAGTGCATGTGGAGTCATCTCATGGTCTGGGAACTCAAACACAGGTGGGAGAAGTCCTCATCACTGGCCCGTAGGAATTATTTCTAACTCTCCTAACTCCCTTTCCTCCCTCCCTCAGCCCCCAGGGCACGGATGTCTGGAGAAAGGCTAGGCAAGTATGGCCTCCAATATAGTCCCAGGCACTTACCTCTCCAGTGGTGATTTGTGTTAGAGACTTAAATTGCATTAGCTTCTCAAAAGCAAAGGAGGAAACAGCAGAACGAAACCTGATGCCTGTGCGCTGGTTTAAGACCCAGCATGAGCACAGACTCAGAGACTTTAGACATTCCGTGAAAAAGAGGGCAAGGCAGAGTCCCACTCCATAGGCAATATTTCCTGATGGCGCTTCAGAATATTCCAGGATCTTTGGTATAATCAGCATCTAGAAGGAAGCAGGAGTTTGGATTACTCAGTCAGTACTCCAGCTTTCTTCTGGAGAGACTTGCACCTGTCCAACTGCATGCAGTCTAGGTTGCTTGGCCAAAGTGCCCCACCCTCTGCAGGCCAACTGGTGAGCATGTGACCCCAGCTGGGACAATGAGACTTATTCTCTGCAATCAGAAACTTGGGCTGAGGACCTGGAGGACAGGAGATCAAGTTGACTCATCTCAACCATAGGGCATGGAAGAGACCACTATTCCCTGCCACCTGCATTCCCAGAGTTGCTCAGTCACTTCGCAAAACAGCTAGTTTGTACCTAGTCAGGATACGTTCTAGGTGTTTTATATATTCGTCTCATTTAAATTCATGCTGAGAGGCAGGTAATGTCATGCTCTTTATTTTATACATGAGTGTTTCCATGAGGTCTACCACTAGGTGTGTCATGGGGTTCCTTAAAGAAGCTAAGGCAAACAGATTGCCCAAAGTCATTCAGCAATTCAGTGGCCAAGGTCTGAACCCAAGCAATTGCTGCAAAACTCATATTCCTAACGGCTGCTAGCTCTACTGTCTCCAAAAGGTCTTCATTTTCCAAGTGGCAGCTTAGAGAAAAACAAGTCCCAACTCCACGCACGGACTTGAACGTGCCAATCGCTAAAGCTTGGAGCCCCACAAACCTCACAAAGCCAGCCACTTACTGGCCCTACCACACCCGAGGCGGAGAAGAGGCAGCCCAGAAATACACTGAAAAGAGCCCTTGTTCTTTGAAATTTCATCATCACTCGAAGCACTGAAGCTTTCTCAATCCCATGTCTTGAGACTTCTTCTTCCCAAAGGAGGCAAAGCCTTCAAAAGAGGAGAATTCAACCAGTGAAATCTCTTTGCACAGAGTATTTCAAGTAAATCCCAGACATATTTCATCTACAAATGCTTCAGTATGTATCTCTTCCAGATAAGGCCTTTTAAAAAAACTACAGTGACATACAATAGTTATTCACTAATAACTACTAATTATTAATAACAATTGACATATATTAACATAATGTATTTATTGCATATTTAATAAAAATTCTGTGATGACATTTAATACCCAGTCTGTGTTCAAATTTCTCTAATATGTCAAAAATATGTTTTTGTAGTTAGTTCACCCAAATCAAGATCCAAATGAGGTCCACACATTGCATTTAAACAACAAATCTAATAGGCTTCTTGTACCTCATTTTAACCTGTAACAGCTTCCCCTTCTCTGCATTTTATGCCATTTGTTTGTTGAAGAAACTGGGTCACTTATTCCAAGAATTTCTTACATTCTGGATTTGACTGATTGCATCTCTATCCTGTTGTCTAACATAACCATAACCTTCTGTGCCCTGTATTTTCTATTAAACGTCTAGCTAGATCTAGGGTAGTGAAATTCAGAATTCAGGTCAGCTGGCAAAAATACATAATAGGTGATGTAGTGTACTTCTTTTGCATAATTGCAGAAGACCCAGTGTCTGGTGTCCTATTATTAGCAATGTTCATGGTGTCAGTGGGTTAAGGGGTATCAGCCTGACTCGTTCATTGCCATTCACTCCCCATCATTGATGACCATTGCCACTTCTATTAGGGCTGGCAAAATGGTGATTTCTAATTCTAACATTCCTTCTGTATTTAGTAATTTGAATTTTTCTATTAAAAAAAAAAAACTTCGGGGGCACCTGGGTGGCTCAATCAGTTAAGCATCCAACTTTTTTTTTTAAATTTTATTTATTTGACAGAGAGAGAGAGATCACAAGGAGGCACAGCAGCAGGCAGAGAGAGAGGGGGAAGCAGGCTCTCCGCTGAGCAGAGAGCCCGATGCGGGGCTCGATCCCAGGACCCTGGGATCATGACCTGAGCCGAAGGCAGAGGCTTAACCCACTGAGCCACCCAGGCACCCCTAAGCATCCAACTTTTAACCTCAACTCAGGTCTTGACCCCAGGGCCATGAGTTCAAGCCCTGTGCTGGGGCTATTTTTAAAAAAACTACTTTAAAAAAATTAAAAAGATAACTTTCCTTCATCAACTATTTTGTTACCCTGAAATACAGTTAATTGAGGAAATGACCTAGGACTTTAAATAGTGTCTCTCTTTCTTTTTATACAAACTAAAATCCATAAAACCCAAAACTCTGACCTCCAAAAAGTGCCTCCATTTATTTCAAAGTCCCCCAAAGGGTGCCCCAATGTTGGATCACCTAATTAAAAGTGTGCCCTTATTTTGGCAATCTGAGCTAATGATGTCTAGGCTGTTGATGTTATTATCAGTTAAATGGGAACACCAAAAACATTTTTTTGAGGAAAAAAATTGAAAAACAATATTTCAAAAAAAGCATCAAAGAAGTTACCTTAACAGAAATTAAGACTTTCATTGACTCGCTTATCCTTCTTTTTTCATTTTATATTATGTTTGATGTGGGAGCAGGTAGCTGGAAAATAATCACTGCAGTGCTTCTGGCTTCCAGAGTCTTAATCTGGCCCTGGATGCTTCCCCCTCATCCACGATCAGTCTGTCAGCTGCAGTCACTATGCTGGCCTCTCCACTTTTACTTCCTGCCTCCTGCTCCACCCTGTTTGATTCTACTCTCTGAAAAGCGATTACCACTGCCCTTAATGGGAACATAAAGGACTATGCCAAGGGACTCCAGGTCTCCCTAAAGCTTCTACTCCTCACAGAGCAGGAGCATGGTGGGCCACCCTTTGTGCTCAGGGCTTGAGGGCAGCCCTGCTTATGCACGTTCTCAAGCAGCTCTATCAGCTTCCGGTTCTTATTTTCTGCCACCAAGTCTCTCAAGGCAGGCAGTTCTAGCCCTTTCTACTCCTCAACCCTGCAGCCATGGACACTCATACCCAGCCTAAAGGCAGAAAGGAACACCATGAGAATGTTCCTGTCATACATTCCCTCACCTGCCGTCAGACGCCCCAGGTTGCTTCTTCCTTCCTGAGTTCTAAAACAATGGTTCCATCCCATGCCCACTAGTGTAGGACAGATAATTTGCAGGGAAAGAGGTGTCTGGGCCCTAGGTCAATAAAGCAAAAATGTCCCCATGTCACCCATATGTGTTAGAGGACTTTATTGCTTGTGGACAATTTTACTCAGGCCAATCTGTGGGGCCACCTCTCCTGTTCCAGCCCTACCTCCATATATAACCCAATCCACAGAGACAAAAAGCACTAGAGTAAAAAAGTCTTGACTAAACAAATTAAAGGAAAGTAAAACAAACTAAAAGAGCTTTGACTAAACAAATCCAAGTGTCCCGTAGCTTGCCCTCAACTCTCCTAGCAACTGTATCAATTTCTGGCCATGATAATCAGATTCGGAACCTCACCTCCTCCCCTCATTAGCTATGTGATTCTAAGAACATCATTTTACTTCTCTTAGTCCTCAGATCCTTCATGTGTAAAGTGGGGAAAGTAACATCTGCCCTGTTTACTGTGACAGTGAAAGGAGGTGATGCTCTGTCACTATAGAACAATGAAAACTATGGAGAATTATGAAAGTGATACTGAAGATGATGGTGGTGATAATGGTGACTCTGCCACTGGGCTGACCACCATGGTGGTGATGGTGATGGCCGGCAGTTTGTCAGCAAATGCTCATGGCAGTCAAAGCAGTTCTTCAGAAGGGCTAGGCAAGCCGCACCCCAGAACTCTGCTTGTTCAGTGAGGAACGTAGACGAAGAAACCTCTCTAAAGGTGTGAATGCATGGGTCATTGTTTTTTCAAATAAACATCCCAAAGTGGCATGATTATAAAAGTATTGGTAGACAGACGTGGTGAGTTACAGAATAAAAACAGCAGAATCAGTGCACTAGAAGCGAATAGACACAAATCAAGAAACCTTGTGTTCATAATGGTTAAAGAGCAACCAAACATCTAACCGGTTGCTTAAGATGCACTGGGCATGTTTCCAGGTGGTTTAAACTGAATTCCTCATCTCTTTTGACTCTTCCAACAATCCTATGAAAGACCAAGAGGTCAATTTTATGCTCCCTTATTTTATGCACAAGGACGAAAGGTCTCTGATAGGGTAAGTGACTTGCCCGACATCAGAGCTGGTAACCAGTGAGATTCTGACCAGTATCTGGCACGATGTAAGAGGCAGGTGTTCCCTGAAAACTAATTTTTCTCTTTTACTGAACAATTCTGAGAAACGATGGGTCAAAGTTGAACCAGCTTTGTTTTCTCAGTACCCTCAGTACACTAATTTATTTGGTAAACTAATCTCTGAGATCTGGCAATAGTGTGCCACGTTTCACAAACTCCCTTGACCAAGGAAAGCGCTTTTCAGGGAAGTTCTTAGGGGACGACCATTTTCTGGTATTCTTTGGAAAATGCCGCTCTCTACCTGATGTCTCTCACGAAGCAGCTAGAGGTAGGAACATGAATACAAAACATTTAAAAATCACTTACTCATTCCCCTCCCCCCACTTAATCCTCATATTACCTTGTGAGGTACGTGGTACAGAAAACTCAATCACACAACTAGTTAGTGATGATTTAGGGATTAGGAGACTAGTCCCTTAACCCAAAATTTAATGATGAGTCACACAGGTAACTGCCTGATCCAGAAGAAAAAGCAAAAGGAACAAGAAGGGGTTGTTTCTAACTCTCTTGGGGGTCCGGGACCTTTA